CCTGAGGCAAAAAAGAAAAGGGAGTTGCCCTGGCTGGTGTGGCTCACTGGATTGAGGACTCATCTGCGAACCAAGAGGTTGCCAGTTCAATTCCCAGTCAGGGCACATGCCTGGATTGTAGGCTAGGTCCCCAGTTAGAAGTGTGTGAGAGGTGATCCATGTTTCTCTCGCACATCGATATTTCTCTCCCTCTCTTTCTCCCTGCCTTTCCCTCTCTCTAAAAGTAAATAAAGAAAATTCTTTAGGAAAAAAAAAAGAAAGGGAGGATAAAGAGGTTTTTCTTTCTTTCAACCCTTTCAGCTCAAAAGAGAAGAAACCAAATTTAACTTCCCTTAGAAGTGCAGCTCCTTGCCCTGGGCGGGTGGTTCAGTTAGTTGGAGCATTCTTTCATGCACCAAAAGGTTTGATCCCTGGTAGGGCACACACCTAGGGTGTGGGTTCAATCACCAGCTGGACATGTACAGAAGGCAGCCAACGTATGTATGTATGTATGTATGTATGTATGTATGTCTCTCTCTCATCAGTAAACATATCCTCAGGTGAGGATTAAAAAAGAAAAAAAGAAAAAGAAGTGCAGCTCCACAGGAATGACTTATCAAAAGCCCATTTCCTAGGGAGGATTGAGGCTTGACTATGGTATCAGCCCACTGGGGAGTGGGGAGGAGGATGAAGGAGCAAGTTTTTGTTTTTAAATTAATTTACTTATTTTAGAGAGGGGAAAGGAAGGACAAAAAGAGTGGGAGAAACATCCATGCAAGAGATAAGCATTAATCAGTTACCTCTTGTAGATGCCCCAACCAGGGACCAAACCCAAAACCCAGGCACAGTAACATTACAAAGTTAGGAAGACATAGGCCTTCCCTGGGAACTGGGATCCAGTCCCATATCCTTCTACAAAAGGATTCACTTATTATTATGCCTTTCTAGAAGGTTTTGACCAACTTCTGCCAGGACAGTTGAAAGAAGCAATTTAATGGAAGGCAACAGGGAAAGAAGTGGTAACTTTTGCAGGATTCAATGGGCCTTGGGATTAATTGGGTTTATTGAGCAGTAAGGAGGGCAGAAGCCAGTAAATACCTTCAATTCACAAACTTTTAGATCCTAAATTACCAAAACCTTGAACTGAGAGTTCTACTGTTTGGCTCAGCTCTTTCATTGTGTTGACCCAATGTTAACCAATGAGTCACTGGCTTAAATGAGAGTCCTTTCACTTCCCCCACTCTCTCTCTCTTCTTTTTTCTTAAGAGGCAGAAAGCATACTTATCTCTTATCAGCAGGGTAGTGCAAACTCCCTATTATTGACCTAGGAAAGATTGGTATGCCCTTCCATACCTTTTCTGCCTACAAATTCCTAATGTATCTTTTAAGGCCAACCTCAAATGTCACCTTCCCTAAGAAATTGCTTAATTACCCTCTCACTCCAGCAGTATCATTATTGCTTCCTCTGGGGTCCCACAGCATTAAGACTGTATTGCTATCACAGCATCTATTACACAATATGAATTTTAAATTAGGAGCTTCTCAGAAAGTGTGACTATTTCTTGTCATCTTCAATCACCAGAGCGGAGTACAATACCTGATCCCTAGTAAGTGTTCACTGAATGCTCCCTGAATTAAGGCCAAGGCAATCCTGCTTCTTCCCTCCATCCACCCTTCCCCATCTGTGCCATTTGATTAGCATTTTACTCAGTTCCATTGAGGAATGTTTTAAGGCAGCCTCAGAGAACCAGTTCTCTCCTTGGCCTCTTTGTGATCTCCCTTGGATGGAGGGCCCCCCCTGGGACCTAGCCCACAAGGTATTGTTGCAACTCATATGGGCTAACTGCTTTTCCTGTCGCCCGTTACTGTGTCTCAAATGGCCTAATCATACCCAATGTGTGGGCCTCCCACCTGGACACTGAAGCAACTGTGGGTAAAAACAAAGTTCTCTGAATTTACAGTTGATGTTAATGTTCAGTAAACTTTGGGCCATTCTCTCTATTAATTCTTGAATTAGAGACACACAAATTAAAAAATCATACCACTACAGAGCTTGAGGACACGCTGAAAAGGTACCCACGGTCCCTAAACAGAAGCTGCAACCTGGCTGACAAATCTGCCAGACTTTGCTCACCTGGGTGGCTCTTACTCAGTTTAGTTGTTGTTCAGTCAATGACTAAATCTTTCCTAAAACATTTTTGGGAAGTGGGAGTGTACTGTGTAGGGCTTTAAGGTATCCTTTCTCCTAGAGGGCTGGTTCATTTCCTCAAGTTCATTGTCTTACACTTTGTTTATGCCCAGAAAATGCCTCAGGAATAGGACAGACGCACTTGCTTCACCTACCCTCTGCCTCCTCCGAAGTCAAATTCTTATCCATGTACACAAATAAGCTAACTAAAGAGGAGCAATCCTTGCTCCTGGGCAAAGTTAGTTAGAAGATACAATGTATGACATCAAGGGCAATGGGAAAGCTCTCTTCTCCAAGTAAATTTTTGTAACTCAAGGTTTTTGTTTGAAATTCTATATTGATAATTCCACTTCTTAGCTCCTTCTTATGAAACAAAAACCCTTGGAAAAACTAATACTTTAAGTGACTTTGTTATTTACAACTTAATATGAAGCAATTCCAGATCATTTCTTAAAGGCAGGCTTTGATTAAGGGGAACGTAGAAAAGATTAAAAAAAAAATAAAAAAGAAGGGACAGGATATCACCAGGATGTCAAAAAAAAAAAAAAAAAAAAAAAGGCAAAGTTTAGAGAGAATTCTCTCACACACACACACACACCTCCCCACCCCCTACAATTTTCTCTAGGACTGGCTTTGCAGGAGAGAAAATAAAAGCTCCTAAGGGGACAACAACTGAGATTTCTGTACAAAGGCTGGGCATATTAGAAGGCTTCTAAAACCAGTAAGGACAAATTCAATAAGGAGGTAGTAGGAAATGCCCCAGCTATACTGAGGTTTAAAGGACAACCAATTTCACATCCAGAAACTCTGGAGCTTCTCATAGAAAAACAAATACAAGGGACCCTTTGGAGACCATCATCTTCTTTTGGGATAATAAAGGGACAGTCATATAACTTAAACCCACAGAGATCATGAACCAGAAGAGGTCTCAAATTTCTCATGTTAGCAGAGATGCCAGAAGTTCCCCCAAACAAAATGATTCTCCTTAATGTTTTTTTCCTGCCCATAAAAAGAAAAAAGTTTTTGCCATCTACTTGAGCATTTTCTAGGATACACAGTGTATGGCTGGGGTGTGTGTTCAGAAGGTGAGGGATAACCCAGAGTACAGCTCTCTGCTTGTCTGAAACTGATAGAAGCAAGACAAAATGAACTGTGAAAGAAGCACAATAAATAACAGAGTATCATTCCAGAAGGAACTATGAAGAGATTGAGAACAGAGTTTGGTGGGAACAATAAAAACAGAATTGCCTTTGGTGGCACATCCCCCAAAGCAAAAAGCAAGATTAGTCTGACCTGCTGTCCCTTATATCTGACCTTTCTGGATGAAATATCATGAGTGATGTATGTGTGGGAGGATTTACAGTTTTTACTCTTCTGTAAAGCATATTTAAAAATATGTATATATTACTTTTGACATTAAGGAGAAATGTAGCTATAAAATACATTGGTATAAAAGGGAAAAGAAAGAAGTATAATAAGGGAAAATCCAATAGGCTCCAATCTATGGCAGACTCAGATCAGAAAACCATTAAAAATATATGTAAGGAGGAGACTCCTGTGCCTTAGAAATCCATCTTCCTTCTCCCTATCCACCCCTTTCCCCAAGTGCCTTATTGTTTACTGAAGAAGTAAACAAAACTGGTGATGCTAACTTTGTGGAATGTAATTTCTCTTCCCCAAATCCCTTTCCTCAGTGATATCGCTTCACATTTCCAGGCTTGGTTCCACTTAATTATTACCTGTCTGGGAAATACCCAGTCTAAGTCCTACAAAGTTTCACCAGCCATGGTTGGAAGATCTCTTGGTTGCTGGAGTATCCCTAAGTACCTTTCCAGGGCAGATGAGATGACTGATTCCCCTCTTCTAGGTGAGAGATATGGTATCCACTACAGACCACATTACTAAGTGGGAAAACAAACCCCCCCAAATCCAACTCCTTAGCTCTTGCACAGGACTGCACCCTAAACCAGCTGAGGCTGGTAAGAAGAACCAGACTGCACCCTCCAGATGAATCCAAGGGAACGTGTAGGGGTTGAGTTTGGAACAGCCAACAGCCACAGGGGGAAAAAAAATTAGGTTTGTTTTCATTGGCTACCCTGGGAGTACCAAAAACTTCAAGTTACCACATCTCAACACTTAATGGGAACAAAAGAGAGGGGCCTCCCAAGTCCCACAGGCTCCAGCCTACCCTTGAGCATTCCCAGAAGCTCCTATAACTGATACCAAGCCCTGTTTCCATTTACCCAATCACCTTAGCCTTCTAGATTAGGAAGGCTTTCTTCATTTGCCTCACTCAACTCAAATCCTCTCGGCTCAACTCTGGGGCACCCTAGTTATTTTTATAACAATCACTTTCCCTGAAACAGAATGCCTCTTACCCAACTAAGAACTCTTCTGGGACCCTACCAATTGACATCTCCAGAGCACCAGCCTCGGTTATCCTTGGGACCCAGGCGTCTGGGCTGACCCCTCCTCACCTCCCGGCAAATGGGCTTACCTCATCCGCTTCCCCAGCCCTTTCCCCCAGCTCCTCCCTCTCAGCGCTGCTCAATGAGGCCTGCCCCTTCCCTCGCACAAGACCTGGGCCTCGCGCGCCGGCCCGCAGCCCTGTCGCCGGCAGAGCCCGGCCTCACCAACTTCGGGTTCCCAGCCCGCTTGGCCCCCTCCTCAGCGCCCCCATTAGGCCTGCCAGGGACCGGCCCCCTTCTCCCCTTTCTAATGGGCCTCTCTAACCCCATAGCTGGGGCCCAGGCCCGCCTGCGCTCTCAGGCCATGCTGCTCTCCACTCCCGGGCGCCTCCGCCCCTGCCCTCTGGGCTCCATCAGCTCGGTACCTGGGGCTCCGTCTCCCCCGTCGGGCCCAAGCCTGTGTCGAACAGACAAACAGCCGCAGCTCAACCAAACCCTCCTGCCCCTCCTCCTCCTCCTCCTCCTCCTCGCCCTGTTGGGGCGGGGACCCTGGCCAATGGCACAATTACGCCTACCATTGAGGGTGGGCTCTGTGTGCACAGCTCCGCCAATCCTTTAGAGAAAGGCGGGCCTTTTTCGGCCTTGTCACCGAGGGCGAGCCAGAGACCGGATAGGCGTGTCCCCAGGCCAATATGAAGAGGGAAACCTTGAAGCGTCCATCTTCAAGGTTTCCCTCTTCATATTGGCCTGGGGACACGCCTATCCGGTCTCTGGCTCGCCCTCGGTGACAAGGCCGAAAAAGGCCCGCCTTTCTCTAAAGGATTGGCGGAGCTGTGCACACAGAGCCCACCCTCAATGGTAGGCGTAATTGTGCCATTGGCCAGGGTCCCCGCCCCAACAGGGCGAGGAGGAGGAGGAGGAGGAGGAGGAGGGGCAGGAGGGTTTGGTTGAGCTGCGGCTGTTTGTCTGTTCGACACAGGCTTGGGCCCGACGGGGGAGACGGAGCCCCAGGTACCGAGCTGATGGAGCCCAGAGGGCAGGGGCGGAGGCGCCCGGGAGTGGAGAGCAGCATGGCCTGAGAGCGCAGGCGGGCCTGGGCCCCAGCTATGGGGTTAGAGAGGCCCATTAGAAAGGGGAGAAGGGGGCCGGTCCCTGGCAGGCCTAATGGGGGCGCTGAGGAGGGGGGCCAAGCGGGCTGGGAACCCGAAGTTGGTGAGGCCGGGCTCTGCCGGCGACAGGGCTGCGGGCCGGCGCGCGAGGCCCAGGTCTTGTGCGAGGGAAGGGGCAGGCCTCATTGAGCAGCGCTGAGAGGGAGGAGCTGGGGGAAAGGGCTGGGGAAGCGGATGAGGTAAGCCCATTTGCCGGGAGGTGAGGAGGGGTCAGCCCAGACGCCTGGGTCCCAAGGATAACCGAGGCTGGTGCTCTGGAGATGTCAATTGGTAGGGTCCCAGAAGAGTTCTTAGTTGGGTAAGAGGCATTCTGTTTCAGGGAAAGTGATTGTTATAAAAATAACTAGGGTGCCCCAGAGTTGAGCCGAGAGGATTTGAGTTGAGTGAGGCAAATGAAGAAAGCCTTCCTAATCTAGAAGGCTAAGGTGATTGGGTAAATGGAAACAGGGCTTGGTATCAGTTATAGGAGCTTCTGGGAATGCTCAAGGGTAGGCTGGAGCCTGTGGGACTTGGGAGGCCCCTCTCTTTTGTTCCCATTAAGTGTTGAGATGTGGTAACTTGAAGTTTTTGGTACTCCCAGGGTAGCCAATGAAAACAAACCTAATTTTTTTTCCCCCTGTGGCTGTTGGCTGTTCCAAACTCAACCCCTACACGTTCCCTTGGATTCATCTGGAGGGTGCAGTCTGGTTCTTCTTACCAGCCTCAGCTGGTTTAGGGTGCAGTCCTGTGCAAGAGCTAAGGAGTTGGATTTGGGGGGGTTTGTTTTCCCACTTAGTAATGTGGTCTGTAGTGGATACCATATCTCTCACCTAGAAGAGGGGAATCAGTCATCTCATCTGCCCTGGAAAGGTACTTAGGGATACTCCAGCAACCAAGAGATCTTCCAACCATGGCTGGTGAAACTTTGTAGGACTTAGACTGGGTATTTCCCAGACAGGTAATAATTAAGTGGAACCAAGCCTGGAAATGTGAAGCGATATCACTGAGGAAAGGGATTTGGGGAAGAGAAATTACATTCCACAAAGTTAGCATCACCAGTTTTGTTTACTTCTTCAGTAAACAATAAGGCACTTGGGGAAAGGGGTGGATAGGGAGAAGGAAGATGGATTTCTAAGGCACAGGAGTCTCCTCCTTACATATATTTTTAATGGTTTTCTGATCTGAGTCTGCCATAGATTGGAGCCTATTGGATTTTCCCTTATTATACTTCTTTCTTTTCCCTTTTATACCAATGTATTTTATAGCTACATTTCTCCTTAATGTCAAAAGTAATATATACATATTTTTAAATATGCTTTACAGAAGAGTAAAAACTGTAAATCCTCCCACACATACATCACTCATGATATTTCATCCAGAAAGGTCAGATATAAGGGACAGCAGGTCAGACTAATCTTGCTTTTTGCTTTGGGGGATGTGCCACCAAAGGCAATTCTGTTTTTATTGTTCCCACCAAACTCTGTTCTCAATCTCTTCATAGTTCCTTCTGGAATGATACTCTGTTATTTATTGTGCTTCTTTCACAGTTCATTTTGTCTTGCTTCTATCAGTTTCAGACAAGCAGAGAGCTGTACTCTGGGTTATCCCTCACCTTCTGAACACACACCCCAGCCATACACTGTGTATCCTAGAAAATGCTCAAGTAGATGGCAAAAACTTTTTTCTTTTTATGGGCAGGAAAAAAACATTAAGGAGAATCATTTTGTTTGGGGGGAACTTCTGGCATCTCTGCTAACATGAGAAATTTGAGACCTCTTCTGGTTCATGATCTCTGTGGGTTTAAGTTATATGACTGTCCCTTTATTATCCCAAAAGAAGATGATGGTCTCCAAAGGGTCCCTTGTATTTGTTTTTCTATGAGAAGCTCCAGAGTTTCTGGATGTGAAATTGGTTGTCCTTTAAACCTCAGTATAGCTGGGGCATTTCCTACTACCTCCTTATTGAATTTGTCCTTACTGGTTTTAGAAGCCTTCTAATATGCCCAGCCTTTGTACAGAAATCTCAGTTGTTGTCCCCTTAGGAGCTTTTATTTTCTCTCCTGCAAAGCCAGTCCTAGAGAAAATTGTAGGGGGTGGGGAGGTGTGTGTGTGTGTGTGAGAGAATTCTCTCTAAACTTTGCCTTTTTTTTTTTTTTTTTTTTTTGACATCCTGGTGATATCCTGTCCCTTCTTTTTTATTTTTTTTTTAATCTTTTCTACGTTCCCCTTAATCAAAGCCTGCCTTTAAGAAATGATCTGGAATTGCTTCATATTAAGTTGTAAATAACAAAGTCACTTAAAGTATTAGTTTTTCCAAGGGTTTTTGTTTCATAAGAAGGAGCTAAGAAGTGGAATTATCAATATAGAATTTCAAACAAAAACCTTGAGTTACAAAAATTTACTTGGAGAAGAGAGCTTTCCCATTGCCCTTGATGTCATACATTGTATCTTCTAACTAACTTTGCCCAGGAGCAAGGATTGCTCCTCTTTAGTTAGCTTATTTGTGTACATGGATAAGAATTTGACTTCGGAGGAGGCAGAGGGTAGGTGAAGCAAGTGCGTCTGTCCTATTCCTGAGGCATTTCTGCGCATAAACAAAGTGTAAGACAATGAACTTGAGGAAATGAACCAGCCCTCTAGGAGAAAGGATACCTTAAAGCCCTACACAGTACACTCCCACTTCCCAAAAATGTTTTAGGAAAGATTTAGTCATTGACTGAACAACAACTAAACTGAGTAAGAGCCACCCAGGTGAGCAAAGTCTGGCAGATTTGTCAGCCAGGTTGCAGCTTCTGTTTAGGGACCGTGGGTACCTTTTCAGCGTGTCCTCAAGCTCTGTAGTGGTATGATTTTTTAATTTGTGTGTCTCTAATTCAAGAATTAATAGAGATAATGGCCCAAAGTTTACTGAACATTAACATCAACTGTAAATTCAGAGAACTTTGTTTTTACCCACAGTTGCTTCAGTGTCCAGGTGGGAGGCCCACACATTGGGTATGATTAGGCCATTTGAGACACAGTAACGGGCGACAGGAAAAGCAGTTAGCCCATATGAGTTGCAACAATACCTTGTGGGCTAGGTCCCAGGGGGGCCCTCCATCCAAGGGAGATCACAAAGAGGCCAAGGAGAGAACTGGTTCTCTGAGGCTGCCTTAAAACATTCCTCAATGGAACTGAGTAAAATGCTAATCAAATGGCACAGATGGGGAAGGGTGGATGGAGGGAAGAAGCAGGATTGCCTTGGCCTTAATTCAGGGAGCATTCAGTGAACACTTACTAGGGATCAGGTATTGTACTCCGCTCTGGTGATTGAAGATGACAAGAAATAGTCACACTTTCTGAGAAGCTCCTAATTTAAAATTCATATTGTGTAATAGATGCTGTGATAGCAATACAGTCTTAATGCTGTGGGACCCCAGAGGAAGCAATAATGATACTGCTGGAGTGAGAGGGTAATTAAGCAATTTCTTAGGGAAGGTGACATTTGAGGTTGGCCTTAAAAGATACATTAGGAATTTGTAGGCAGAAAAGGTATGGAAGGGCATACCAATCTTTCCTAGGTCAATAATAGGGAGTTTGCACTACCCTGCTGATAAGAGATAAGTATGCTTTCTGCCTCTTAAGAAAAAAGAAGAGAGAGAGAGTGGGGGAAGTGAAAGGACTCTCATTTAAGCCAGTGACTCATTGGTTAACATTGGGTCAACACAATGAAAGAGCTGAGCCAAACAGTAGAACTCTCAGTTCAAGGTTTTGGTAATTTAGGATCTAAAAGTTTGTGAATTGAAGGTATTTACTGGCTTCTGCCCTCCTTACTGCTCAATAAACCCAATTAATCCCAAGGCCCATTGAATCCTGCAAAAGTTACCACTTCTTTCCCTGTTGCCTTCCATTAAATTGCTTCTTTCAACTGTCCTGGCAGAAGTTGGTCAAAACCTTCTAGAAAGGCATAATAATAAGTGAATCCTTTTGTAGAAGGATATGGGACTGGATCCCAGTTCCCAGGGAAGGCCTATGTCTTCCTAACTTTGTAATGTTACTGTGCCTGGGTTTTGGGTTTGGTCCCTGGTTGGGGCATCTACAAGAGGTAACTGATTAATGCTTATCTCTTGCATGGATGTTTCTCCCACTCTTTTTGTCCTTCCTTTCCCCTCTCTAAAATAAGTAAATTAATTTAAAAACAAAAACTTGCTCCTTCATCCTCCTCCCCACTCCCCAGTGGGCTGATACCATAGTCAAGCCTCAATCCTCCCTAGGAAATGGGCTTTTGATAAGTCATTCCTGTGGAGCTGCACTTCTTTTTCTTTTTTTCTTTTTTAATCCTCACCTGAGGATATGTTTACTGATGAGAGAGAGACATACATACATACATACATACATA